GCATTTAGGTAATATAAAGAAAATAAAGCATATCCACCATTTACATAGACAAAACAATGATTTTGTGCCTCTCAAACATTATACCCCACCATCATCCCGACAGGTTTGGTCCATTGAATCACTGACACTGTATGAATAKTTGGCTAACAATGAAGTTGTGTTAAACTCAGTTAGCTTTAGTGTAAGAGGAAGTGTTTCTGTCTGCCATGCTGGAGGCTGAGGTTTCATCCACAGTGAGAGAAATCTGTTTTTTTTATTTTAATTCTATTTAAATCAAAATATTCAAATATTTTCAGATGGCAGGAACAATTRGTTGTTATAATTTATATTGAGAGACGCCACAATAACCATTGGATTTATTGGAGTAATTTATTTAACGTAGTGGCTTCCGTTTGATAAATAGTTGTTTTTATTTAGAGTTTTATGTTATTTTAAAGCTGCTTTAGCTCAGTGACAATTATTCAAACACCAAAGTATTAATTAAAGCCAAATTTAATCTTCAATGTGGTTCGAAACAATCTTTAAAATGAAGAAAAACAACACCCAAATTTGATCAACATTAACAAATTCTCTCCATTCTTTGTTCTGCAGACTGAAAACCACGTTGAAGTGGAATTGCACCATTCCATTTGTTGTTTAGTTGAAATTGCTTCCCTGTATAGCACACGTGTCAAACTTAAGGTACACGAGCCAAATGTGGCCCACCATGGCGTTTTATGTGGTCTGCAAGAGTTTCAGAAATGTAATAATGTCTTAAAATAAGCTGCTTTAAATGAATACTCTACAAAATGTAGCATTGCTACGTTAGCAGGTCAATTCTGAAGTTATGCAATCAGAACCGGTTAAACAATTACCTGACATGCTTGTTTAGTTCACTGTTTACATTTTAACCTGCCTCTGGTCGGCTGATTTGGCGAAGCATATGTTTATGGAATGAAGCAACGCGACGTGCTCTAAGTAAAATTAACTGCACTAACTATCATATGATTCTGTGAATTCGCAGTCATCCAGGACATGGAAAATTCAAACAAGTGGTTCTGCTCTGTAGCCATAGATATGTTGAGCCATGACGACCTGCTGGAAGTGGAACCAACTAAAGCATCAATTTAGTATCAACACTGTCTGACAATGTTACTTTCACATATTTCTGTGGATTCTCAGTCATCCAGGACATGGAAAATTAAAAGAACAAAGACAAAGCAGCTTGACTTCTGTTTTGTAGCTGAAGACATGGAGCTACACGATTTAAACTGCGTGACTCAAGCATTATCATTACTCGGATCAATCTACTTACCCCTACCTCAGATGTAAGTCAGATGAAATTTGGCACAAACTTTCAGACTGAGGCTTGCTTTGACAAACATCAGATATGTATCTGATTTAATACCAGGTTCYAATTTTWAAAATGTKSTTTTAAAATCARTGTGTAATGTTTAAGTACTATCTCACTTGGTACTGGGTATTGGTGAGTACCCAAACTTAAGTACTCATACTCMGTTTAAGAAAAGCTGGTATCGATGCATCCCTAATCAAATTGAATTCTGTCCAGTGTTGTGACCACTTTGCAAAAGAGGGTTAAAAACTGCTGACTGTAAACTACGTCTCCCATAATGCATGTTGATTGTTTTCAAAATGGCAGCATCCCATCACTAGGTGGAGGTACACAGAGTTCAAAGGCAGCTGGCAGCTGTGTTTATTATGTTGGTTGTGTACTTCTGTGTACCCGGAGTATTTGTGTAGCTCTCCGGTACAGTTTAGTGTTGGAAACCTGCAGGTCGATCATGTGGTTCTGGTAGATCTTCCCCTTTAAGATGTGAGCTCCGGTGCTCACGGCGTTCAACACCAACTTGGTAGAGAGTTCCCACTGCTGAGAGAGAGAGAAATGCTTCAGTTTTAGATTTGATCTTTTCAATTCATGTTGATATTTTTTCCTGGACCCACCATGTGCGTTACGCTTGCTGAGGCTGGTGTTTCTTGGCTCCATGTGAATTTTAGTCTGGATGAACACAGATTATTGATTTCATCCTGCCATTAAAAGACACTGTTATAATTATATCGATGCATCATTTTGTTTGTATTTGACCTGAGTTGCAAAAAGAGCCACGATGAGCTCAGGCTGTAGTGCAAAGATAAAAGGTGAAATCATTGTTTTTTGTCGTAATTGAGATTTACATGAAAATTAGTCTATAAAGACACCAACTGTAACTAAAACAGCAAATATTTTTTCTAATCTACATTTAAATCTGAGGTTTGTAACAGATTTGACTTCAAATGGACAGATAGATGGACAGAGCGAGGGATAAATAGACAGAAGAACAGAGGACAGGACAGAAAGACAGATGGACAAAGGGACAGACCTGTTGTCCAGCAGTGTCCATCTCATGAGAAACAACATGCAGGTTTGAGGTCTTCTCTCTCACTCTTTGGGCTAACTTCAACACTTGACTGACGTCGTCTGCAGACAGAAGAAAAAACGTTGAGTCACTTTGGACCAAACCCAAACATGAAGACAAGCTCGTCTCACCAGAGTGCGTGTAGACGAGCAGAACTGTGTCCTCATCCGTCAGACCAGGCAGGACCAGATCTAAAAAATCCTCATGTGAGACGCAGAACTCAGGACCCTGCAGGAGAGACGTAAACAATTTTTACACAAAATCATTWGACACGGTGCGTTCACTGTACCCTGAATAACTACCAGCAAATTTTTAGACATTTTATTTCAGCTTTAATTCATTCAGGAAAAAAAAATACTTATTCAATGCAGATCTCAGGTCTAACAGTGCTTCACAAAGCAGGTACAGTAATTTATTCTAATCCTCTTCAGACCTAATCTACCAGTGCTGTTACAGAGACAGATTACAAGATTACAGGACCACACAGAGTCCAGTCGGCCATGTCTGCAGAGGAAACTTACACGTTTAAATTATGTACCCTTAGTTAAAGAACATGAATAGAGGTGGCTCAATACTAGTTTTTATCAAACCAAGTACAAGTACTTCAGTTTGGCTACCTGCTGATACTGAGTAGCAATACCAAACCTGTTTTTACCTTAAAATATTTACGGACATTTGTTCTTTGTTAGTTGAGAAGTGGAAGAGGAAAYGACCTCACCAAGCATAAAAATGATTCCGGTTCAAAGTATCAAGTTTGTTCTTGTGAGTACAACTATTTAAACCTGCGATCAATCTATATCCCTTCGATATCCCTTTATATCTGTAAAAAAATTTTTTTTGAGGTGGAAAATAAATAAATAAATAAATAAATAAATGGCCATTTTTGTGTTTGAGGTCAATTAAATCTGGCAACAACCTTGAATCAGGCTGTAGATGTAAAATAAGTAAAATAAAATAAAAAAAACCTGCTATCAATATCAGGACACCACTGATCCTGACCTGAAATCTGATTTTAAAGGGATCCATGATTAGTTGTAACATTAGACTTTATTTGATAAACATATACTGTACTTTAACTGTAAAATAAAGACTGTAAAAATACTGTAGGATGTTCAGTTTGATCATTTTTAAACTAAAAATTAAAAAATATATTATACAGATGGGGACATTTTATTTACATGCAAAGCATTCTGGGTAAATGATGACGTGGATAGGTCATCGTGTGAGACTGCTAGTGAGCTATATCCACCCTGAAGGTTAATCTTGAACAATATCTGATGATTGACTCTTTTAAATGAAACCAGAGAGCGTTGACAGAGAGGAGAAGGTAGAAATGACTCAGCCTGTAACTGAAAATATGGATGGAGGACAACAGAGCTGCTTCATGGAAGAAGAACCTCAGCTTAGTCTGTTAGCATTTGCGCTAGCGCTGACACTATATTTCCTTATATATTAGCTCAGCGCTACCACGACAAACTAACAAGCTAAACTGATGTCCTCCATCCATATTTTCAGTTACAGGCTGAGTCATTTCTACCTTCTCCTCTCTGTCAACGCTCTCTGGTTTCATTTAAAAGAGTCAATCATCAGATATTGTTCAAGATTAACCTTCAGGGTGGATATTGGTGCGTTCACACCAAACGCGATTTCAGCATCAGGAGCATCAGGTTTACATACAAAGTCTATAGTGGACGCGCTTCAAGC